TTAGAAACTCGAGTTGAACCAAAGTTATTTTGAGGGGAACATTACTATTTGACATTCAAAATATGAAAATAACATAACTGTCATGGTTCCTGAGGCCTCTCAGGCTGGCCTGCCTTTTCTCTCCCTCTCTCCATTGCTTTTCTGTCTTTCTTGTTTTTCTGTCAGTATTCGTATGTGTATGCTTGGGGGTATTTTGTTTAATTTCCTTCAGGTGCTTTCTCCGCATTCCACCAGGTTTCTCACCCATTAGATCATATTTACTTATGGCTCATTGGCTAATCAGGCTGGTTACTTAAGACAGGACTAGATAGTTGTATGTATGGTCAAACCAAGCGCAGTACATGCGTTAGTGAGTACCCTGCAGCAACACCAAAGAAAGTCTGCTCACCTTTTGTTTCCAGGTAAAGGAGGTCTGAGAGAAGTTGTTGGACTATGACCTCAGAGACAGAAATATTGAGTTAATACAACTGTGATATACTGTGGAGCTGATCCATGCAACCCTGAGGTTATGTTGTAATAGTTCGTTTTGTGTTTTGCTGATGAAGAGCTGACCCTGAGGTATCTACACAGCAGCCATAATAAGAGCTCGAGTTGGAATTCTCTAAATACTGAGGAAAGGAGCTTCAATGCTTCAACAAACTGCAAAGATGAGATTGTGGAGATAATTTTTCACCTCACTCATAATACAAACATTATTGTAATATAACTACACTTATGTGTGGTGACACATAATAAAAAATAAATAAATTCTGCTCTGTTATTATTGCACAATTGTAAATGTACTTTGAGAGTGCACCTGTACATTTTCAGCAGGTTCCTAAATAGAGGGTCAAGTCTTTCTACTAGAAGATCATATCACAGAATCGTGTTACACAAGGCAATATTTTTTTTATTTCCATACAAAAAAAAGAATAAGAGGAAAGTAAAAGAGAACCATAATATAGACTAGGGCAGACCTTCCCAAAGTGTGGGGCCCACCCCCTAGGGAGGGCAGAGAGCCATTGCAGGAGGGGGCGTGGTATGAAAAGGAAAAAACACAACGACAACAATGCTTGGACACTGCTATCATGGGGCGCCTACACAAACGCAAAGCAGGAGATGAAGCATAGCTGAATATGTTTCCAAACCAACTTCATTCTAAGCCAAAGACTAGAAAATATGATGAAGCATATCTTCCCTTTGGCTTCACCTGCACAAGTGCCGAGGTAGGTCTCCCCTGCATAACTGCTTTTCCCTGCGTCGGGAGCAGCGCTGGGCTCTTCAAATCACGGACAAACAGTATCCCACATTCTTGATTTTTAGTTCACAAACACTTGTCGTAACGACCAACTACTCCTGACATTTAGAGATGTTAGCTCTTTATACAGTAAAGTTACAGCGGGATACAAATAACATCAGGCTGATCCTGCCACAATTTGTTCCCCCTGTCTAAATCACGGACAAACAGTATCCCACAGCTGTTTATGTTTTTAAACCCATTTTGCACAGAGAGGCATTTTTGAAAAATGTATTGATAGCAATGTTGAGGGTAAAATAATTACACTGTGATGCCTCTACCTTTGTAAATAGAGGGACAGTAACTGCGTGTGTGTGTATGTAAGTGTGTAAAACCTGAAGACACAGACAAAATTAGTTAATTAATCCGACTATCTGCAATTCATCTCATGTAAACAATAACGTGGCGCACAGCGTGATGTGACAAAAGGCACATACCTTTGACGTTGTGTGATGAACTCTGTATTCCTCGTCCACACATAAACGCAAAAGAGGAGTTTTAAAAATCTCAGTTTTCGGTGATTCGAAACGCGTTTACGCGTGGATGAAACAGCTGCGTTTTCAAAAGTAGGTGCGAACGTAGCGTAAAAGAGTTAGTAGTTTGTTTTCTTACTACCTGTAATTTTTTGCAGATTACTTGTATTTGCTCAATTGTTTGCTAAATGTTTGAGGTGTGAAATAAACCGCAATGAAGCAGAATATGGGTGTGCGTGGTTGGAGGATGTGTTAGTGTGTGTGCGCGCGCCGGGGGCGGCATTTTTCTTGTATAACAAAGGGGGGCCTAGCAAAAAAAGTTTGGGAACCACTGGACTAGGGTACAAAGTTAAAACACAAGTTTCTAGATTTATATAAAACAACATTAAAGAAACAAGGAAAAACATTTGAATTAAGACATAAAATTTACTTCAACCATCATGAAATGTAAGATCAGGGTTTCTCTGATACAGTTGTAAGAATTAATGCTGAGAGTTCTTCCCTGGTCAATGCCCTGTTCCAGGAAGCATGTCCAATAAACTCTGAGTTTAAAAAACAAACTCTGAGATGATTAACTCTGTAAGCCTGAGTTTCCTGTTCCCGAACAGTTGATCAAAGTTCAATCAACTCTGAGTTAAGAGTGTGTGTGAGAAGAGAAAGAAAGGTATGGAGCTCAGATACCATAAATCACCATGAGTAAATTAAGAGCTGAACCTCCATTTTGATGGAGTAGTTTGAAAAATACCAACACGTGTCAGCACTGATCATGATAGTTATTTTAAAATAACAGGAGAGGAGAAAATCATTTTCTTGGTCTATTCTGTCATCATCATCGGATATTATGAAACTTCGTGTAATGTATAGCTACAACTTCTTATACCTCCCATGGTCATTATTTACCCATGAATTAACATGTATTACATTAAAATGATCTGAAGTTGAATTTGAAATCTATTCAGGGGTAACCCGATAGCAGCAAAATGACAGAAACTGAAGATAAAAATCGAGATAAACAGATCAGACACAGTTTACTGATGGACGTAGCATCAGATAGCAGCACACAGAGTCAAGTCATTTTATTAAATTACAAAAGATGTTTTTGCCACAGTTTGACAATTTCATTTTTTAATGAAATCAAACATTTCAAGCCAGTATTTCATGCATTGATGGGCTGTAGCAACCTCTTTTTTTCTATTGAGATTTCCATAAAACAAAACAGTAGAGGCAAACGTTATACGCTCGTTTTTAGTGTAATTTTTGTGGTGACCAGGTAGCAGGTATACCATCATCTTAACATCCTCCTTTTGTTGTGTCATTTACAAACGCCGTCACGGGAATTTAGGCCACATTGCTATAACGACCCCACCCAGAGTAGGTGGTACTCCAGCGTAATGGAAAAAACACTGAAACCAAGTCGAGTCGAGCAGAGTGGGTACTAGTGAAAAAGGGCTATATGATACCCCAGTGAGATGGATTTGGGTTAGTGTGAATGAAAAATGTGTTTCATTTAAAGTCACAGACTTTAAATCTACCTTACCTTTAAATTGACCTTACCTTTAAAATTACCTTAATTTACCTTTCAAAACATTGTTTGAGATTATTATATGACTGAGTCCTGTGAGTCTGTGAAATTTCAAAATGAAATGTTCAAAACACAGACAGTCTACTGTGTGCATTTCAAACCTGACTTTAAAGTATAGCTAATCCTGTGCTCTATGGGTCTAAAACTTTAAAGAGGACAATGACGTACTACAAAAATACAATAATGTACTCAAAGTTGGCCCTGCTAAGTCAGAGTTGGAAATACGGAAACTAAATTAGTATATGCTACTATATGCTCTTATTCTCAGCTCTTAATAAATCTGCAAGAATCGCTGTCCCAATCATGACATTTTTCACTGCATGATTATAAAATCAATCCCAAAAAAACAAAGTTACAAAGCAACATCTAACTGAGAATTTGTAAGAACAAACTTCCAGCAGATTAATGTGCATTGTTAAGAACATTATGAAAGAGGAAATTAACTGGAGTGTCAGTTGGCAGGTTCAGGTGCAGCAAATGGGAGGAGTGACTTGTTTCTTACACAAATTCATAGTTTGTTTAAGAAAATCTGCTGAAATCTGTTAGGTTCAAAGAGTTTCTTAACCTGGTGAGTGACACCGAGTTAAAGTTAACTCTCTTTCTCTCCCTCATGTCAGGATTAGCAAACTTGCAGTTGTTAGTTAAACCTGCTTCCTGGAATAGAACCCACATAATACTGACCTGAATATGATTCATCTTTTCACTCAGGTGTTGCAGTGGTTTGACTTCTGCTCAGTGTGAGCTCAACAACCAACACTCTATTATGACTAACAGCTGTCCCACATGTTCTAAGCTTTAAACTTTTAATCAGTATGAATTCTCATGTGCTTCTTTAAGTGTGTCCCCTGGCTAAAGGTTTTCCCACACCTGCTACAGCAATGTGGTTTCTCACCTGTGTGAATTCTTGCATGAGACTTCATTCCTGATTTCTGATTGAATTTTTTCCCACAAGTGCTACAAGAATACGGCTTCTCGCCTGTGTGAGTTCTTACATGAGTTTCCAATGCTGATTTCTGACTAAAACTTTTTCCACAGATCCCACAAGAAAATGGTTTCTCACCTGTGTGAAATCTCATGTGTTTTATGAGTCCTGATGAGTCAGCAAATCTTTTCCCACAAGTTTTACAAAAATACGGCTTCTCACCTGTGTGAATTCTTACATGACGTTGCAGCTCTGAATTCTGATTAAATCTTTTCCCACAGGTGATACAAGGATACGGCTTTTCACCTGTATGAATTCTCACATGACGCTCCAAATGAGACTTCTGAACAAATCTTTTCCCGCAAGTGATACAAAGATATGGCTTCTCGCCTGTGTAACGTCTTAAATGATTATCCAATGCTGATTTGTGGCTGAATCTTTTCCCACAGGTGCTACAAGAATACGGTTTCTCACCTGTGTGAACTCTAAGATGTGCACTCAGGTGGGATTGGAAGTGAAATGCTTTTCCACATGTGTCACATTTTAGAGACTTTTCCCTTGTGTCAGCAAGTCTGAGACGTCTCCTCCTCTTTAGCGCTATATTTCTAGCTGATCCTGAGACTACATGCTTGCTTTCTACTTCAGGAGAGCTGTGAGAAAGGAGCTGCCCACTGTTTGATTCCAGTTCACTGTGGTAACTTTCCTGATAAACAAGAGTGTCCATGAAGGCATCAGCCTCCTGCTTCAGTCCAAGCTGCTGTCCTTCCTGACTGCTGCAGAGTTCCTCGTGTTCATCTTTAATCTGTGGAGGCTCTGGGTCGTCTTGGTCCAGACTAGAGTTCCTCTCCTGGTTACAGACCTGCTGACCTCTGACAACCTTCTCCTCATCACAGACATGCTGCTGTTGGAGGTCTGAATGGACAAATGAAGAAAAAAATAGTAGAAAAACAAAAATTTAAGAAGATATATTATAAGCTGAACCATTAGGAGAACTCTACATACTGAACATGTGGCTAATATAGAGCAGTGAAACTTAAAGTGAATGCACCGATTCAAATTGTTTTTTAGTTTTACACCCTTCAAAGATCAGCTTCGTGGATGTCTGTGATGCTGTATATGAAATATAAAGATGCTGGTGTGTTTTCTGTTAAATGAACGCGGATGTGTGGGTACAATTGTATCCTGCTAAGTAGAGGTGAGAATGACCACAGGCTTCATAATGCTATTTTTATTTACTTTTTGCAACATGAATATTGGATATTGCAATAACATGTATTGCAGTTTAACAGTTTTTCAACTGCGATGTATGTTCTCAAACCTTTTCAGTATCCGTTTTATTCCAAATAAACTCCTCTCACTACAGCTATTATTATTATTATTATTATTATTATTATTATTATTTTCTTTCAGCAAAATGAGATTGCCAAGATTACCAACACTGTTACTAAAAGCTGTTATAAATTCTGCCAGACAAAGTCTGTCTTCTATCAGTCTGTGATTGAATGGCATCAAGTTGACAATTAACTGTGATATATCATTGAAAATCACATGCCTAATCACTGTCTATGCAGACAGCAATTCTTCTTATCCAGGGGAACACTAAGGCATCCTCAAGCCAGCTGTGAGATGTCATCTCTCCAGTGTGTCCTGGGTCTGCCCCAAGACCTCATTCTGGTGGGTCATGCCCAGCTCCTTTTGATGTGGAGGAGTAGCAGCGACTCTATACTAAGCCCCTCCTGGATGGCAAAACTCCTCACCCTATCTCTAGGAGAGAGGTCAGTGACCCTATGGAGAAAACTTATTTCTGCTTGCTTTTATTCGCAATCTCATCTTTTTTGTCAGTACCCAGAGCTCGTGACCATAGGTGAGGGAGGGACATAGAATGACTGTTTTACTGTACGTTCTGCATTTCTTTAGTCTCCCAATCTGTCAATCTCTCGCTTCCCTCATGAACAAGACCATGATATATGTATGAACTCTTCCACTTGGGCCAATAACTTGTGCTCACTCAGGCTGAGGACCATGGCCCCCAGATTTGGAGGTACTAATTTTCATTCTCACAATTTCACATTTGGTTGCGACCCACTCCAGTGACAGCTGGAGGCCACCATCTGATTAAGCCAACAGAACCCCATTATCTGCAAAAAGTGAGATTCTGAAGCGACCAAAGTGGAGGCCTTAAGCCAGCTGGCTATGCTTTTAAATTGTATCCATAATAATTCTGAACAGACTCGGTGACAAAGGGCAGCCCTGGTTTAGTCCAACATCTACCAGAAACGAGTCTGACTCATTACCAGGGGTGCAGATAACTGGTACGCATGTGTGACAAAAATTAAGAAAGCATAGTGACACTTGTGTTACCAAGTGCCTTTGGCGTACTTGACAATGTCATTTAACCTTACACATTTTGCTTGTCACCACCTAAATGTCCAAAAAACAACAGACAATAAGTAGCTTCTTTGGTGTCTCGCCACCAGCTAAGAAATGCTAACCAGAGCCAGTGCTGAAGAAAATACTTTTTCAGAAAAGTTGCCACTGTGCACTAAAATGTGGTGAAAGATTTGCCTCTCTCATCTACATCTAAGAGACAAATCAGGTGCATTTTTAAAGGCCCAAAGAATTGTAACCATCCTTTATTTGACAAATGTGAAAAGGGCAAGGAGCACATGAATGTTAGTCATTGCTAATAAACAAGCCATCCGAGAAGATATGTGCAGTTGCCCCCTTAACAGACGGCAAGACAAGCGAAATGACGAACAGAGGTAAGCCCTGTTTAATATTTTTCTCCTCGCTTCCACAAAGTTTAACACACACATCCCATGTCTTCATATCCTTCTTTATTGAGGCAGCTAGGTGTAAACGTCAGACGTGCATGTCATTCACTTGAAGGGGGCACACAGATCATGCAGAGCATTGCTCACACCATCAGCGGGGAGTTATGAGCCAAATTGGAGTCTGCTGAATTTGGATCTGAGGACATCACAAAAAACGAGAAGGAAATTGTTTACATTGTGTCCGTGTCCAACAACGGAGACTTTCTTGGACTGACTGCACTCGGGGCTGACCAAAAGACACAGGCCATAACAGATGATTTGTGAGACTTTTCCAGGACACAGGCTTGGATGACTGGACAACAAAGTTGGTCGTTGTGTGCACAGACGGGGCTGCTGTCAACATGGATATGTACAACAGCGTCGTGCTAAAACTCTGGCAACTTGCTGCAGTTGCACATACTGGAAAATTGCCTAGAATCAGCTGAACACAACGTTCCTTACTGAGAGACATTTAATCGCTCTGTGGTCAAACTGCTGCAGTTTTTATGCAAAAAGGTGGAGCAAAATACAAAACTGCACTGAAGAAGCTGCGTGACAAAAATGGGATCCCCTTTGTGAAACTGGGCGAGTTTCATAATATCAGGTGGCCTGCATGGACGCATGAAACTGTTAAAAATATTATCAATTGTTAGCCATTAAAATGCAACTGGCTACGAGTGACAACAGTGATTTGTAGCATACATGCTTAACATTGGCAGCATTTTAAAGACCACAACCATTAGGTTTCAGAGGGAAAAGCGGATCATTGGAGAATGTAAGGATGAACTCATCGTGGCCATTGGACAGTTTATCCTTCTGCTTGATAGTGATAGGCCACTATAGGGCACACACTGTTTCTAATGCTCTTGCTGACAGACACAAGCAAAGTTACCCGGGGGTAAATCAGATACGACTCCCTCAAGTCATGCAATCATTTCTTAGTATTTGATCCTTCAACATGGCCTCAAGAAAGCAAGTACTCCACAGTTTCAGAAACACAACAGTTTGCAGGATTCTCAAGAAATACGAGGTCACCTTGCAGCTTGACAAAGACACTACTGTAACAGAATGGATGTGATTAAGGCAGGCAGGAAAACGAATGGGAGCCTCTTCTGTGTATGACTTGGTCCATCTCTTGGTCCTCACCTGAGTAGATCACTTGAAAAGTTATCTGCACCCCTGTTTATCACCAGCTAACAGGTGTGCAGGTCCTGTACAGCTCCTAACACGGGCCATTCATTCATATTCCTGAAGCAACCCCCTCAGGACTTTGAGCCGAGTCCCCTCAAGTGGTGCTTATTGACGACGACTCATTCAGACTGACTGCAACATGTTGGCAATCTGTCTGGAGAGTGTCTCTAAGCAAGAACACAGCTTTTACTTGCAAGGGTCCTACAACCTGTGTGAGAGTGACTGCAGTTAGCTCATGTTCAAGGTTTTCTGCATGTTCCAAAAACATCACATCTCTTTGTTTTTTCATTGATTTTTAGGAACAATGTACATCTCAACTTTGTTTCTGAAGATGCCTGAAAACAAGGAGTAAAGGCAACGTTACCCCAGTTGGGGCAGGGATAGCTACTCAGCTACCCCTTAGGTACCCTTGAGTAAGGTACCGTCTCTACAAATCCTTGATTCGCTGAGTGAACGGGTTAAATGCCGAGGACTAGGCAATTTCCTACAGGATTAATACAGTATACATTAGGGGTGGGGGAAAAAATCGATACTGTGTAGTATCGTGATATTTTGTTTGCTAATAATGTATCGATACAGGGACAGCAGTAATCGATATGTTGTTACAAAAAAGGTTTTTGTGCTCTGACTTCAGAGCATGTTGATCCTTTTTCTGAGCAAGAATCCTGACATTCCTTCACTGTCCAAATGTGTTTAACTTTTTTTTGGCAGCAATAAACATGACAGTTTACTTATTTTAATTTAAGACATGTTTTATTTTAATTAAGTTTAAAACTTTTTTATTTAATGTAAAATTATATTTTGTTTTAATTTACTTTCTAATTCTTCAGTTGCTGAATGGGCTGCATAGTTTTCATAAATTACATAGTTCAGAATAGCTATAATTGTACCAGATGGTTGCATTCAGTTAAGTTGGACTAGACTGTAATACAAACCGTTCAGTTTGTCAACAATAAAACTGACTGAAATGAGAGAAAGACTGAGTGCGAGACTTTGATATTAGATAAAATTAATATTGATAAAGTTTACCTTTATGTACAGAATCTGAATATCGCAAAATATTTTAAAAAATTGCAATAATATCGTATCGTGCGTTAAGTATTGTGATAATATCGTATCATGGGATGTGTGGTGATTCCCACCTCTAGTATACATAGATTTAGAAAAGTAACAACCCTCTCTTGCCAAACAATGTTAGCTCATTATGTTTTTTGCCTTAAAAAAAACAAAGTGGATGAAATAAAACTTGATTTCAACTAAATAGAGACAAAACTGAGATTCTCCTGTTTGGAAACAAACATCCATGATTACAACTTAATTCACATCTTGAATCTATAGGGCACTGAAGACCTCAACCTGGTTGGAAAATTTTGGTGAAATCATAGATGAAGAATTTAGTTTCACTGACTGTATCACAAGGCTGTATCATGGATATCATTTCTGTCTTTTTTCTGTTGTTTTTGGTTTTAATTTAATCTTGTAAACCAACTTGAATAACTTATTGGTATTTGAGAGGTAATATACAAATACATTTCCCATAGCAGAAAGAGATACATTCATGCCGCTTATTAAAGTTGGACCTTGAGGAAGAAAGGATGCCCAGGTATAAAATCTTCATGCAGAAGAGATAAGTGGTCCTTCCCAGTTCAAAAGACTGGATCTAAGGCTACGTTCACACTGCAGGTCTTAATGCTCAATTCCGATTTTTTTGATCAAATCCGATTTTTTTGTCTGCTTGTTCACGCTAAAAAAAAAAAGTGACATCAAACACACTCTAGTGTGAACCCTCAAAGCAGCCAGCATGCGCAAAAGAAGACGTCACACACAATGCGCTCTGTTTAGACCCAGAGCAAAAGTATTGTTTGGCTGTTTCGGACTTTACGTTTCCCAATTTTGCTTTAAATTATAAAGTTATTGTGTTATTTACATAATAATGATCCTTATTGCTGTTTTAGAGAGGAGCAGTGCTTCAAAGGATAGTTGCAGATTTCTGTCAGAATCTGCAGATTATACAGTACAAATAAAATGTTCACGTTTCTCCAACGTTGTCTTCCCAACAGTTTCTCTGGATGGACAGGAAGCGTTCACGATGTCTTCTCCGGTGCTGATAATTGCCATCTGTCTCGTGTCAGTGACGTACAAGACGGATTTCATGCGACATGACCGTTCAAACAGCAGTTGCTTTCTAAAACATCAGTTACGTATCGGATTCACAGCCACATATGAAAGTGACCCAGATCGGATTTGAAAATATGATTGGATATGGGTCACAGAGGGTCAGAAAAGTCGGATTTGATGTGCTTTCGCCTGCAGTGTGAACGTAGCCATAGAGTTCACAGTTGGTAATTCCAGCAGAGACACCAGGGGCATCTGTTTAAAATGTGCTAAACAAATAAATTTCCCTTAACAGAAAGAGATGCATTCATGCTGCTTATTACAGTTGGACCTTCAATTCTTCCTGTGCCTCTAAAAATAAATGTAACTTTAAACTCCAATTAGGATCCTACATGACTCATATTCATTGTTATTACGACAATCAGTTTTACATACCTATTCTGTGTAACTTTATCTCAGGTTTGCAGATGGTCCCCAGCAGTCTAATCTGCTCTTCCCTGGACCAGACGATAATGCCTTCATCTTGCTTCAGTCCAAGCTGCTCTCCCTCCTGACTGCTGCAGAGCTCCTCCTGTTCCTCTTTAATCTGTGGAGGCTCTGGGTCCTCCTGGTCCAGACTGGAGTTCCTCTCCTCCTCTTCATTGCAGTCACGTTGTCGTGGGAAGTCTTAAGCAACAAAGAAGTACAGAGTCAAGGTCACAACTGTGATGAGTTTTCACAAATATTTTACAAATGTGTGTCAAAGTCTGAATAAATAGTGATAATTTAAACACACATTTTTACAGAGACAGTGAGCCAGGGCTCTAGACTAACTTTTTGCCATCGGCGCAGCAGTGCATCTTTAAAAACTTAGGCGCACTGGCACAAAAGTTAGGCGCACTCAAATTTTTCAACCACTTAACACCGCAGTTTTACATGTGCACTTTTTGGGGGGGGAAGTTGCAGTCCATACAGACAATATTCATTTCTAAATTATTAACTAACAATCTTGTACTTAAAGTGCTTTGTCAATATTGTAGAAAATGTTAAACTTAATCATCATCTTGGCCTCCTCTGACGACCTGTTTGTTGCTGTCTGCTGCTGAAAGGCAATGGGGAGAGGGGACACTTGGGCAGTGCATTGTTTTGCAGCATATAATGTGTTTTCTGGATACACTGTGTTTTTTCAGCGTTCAAAGACAGATGGCACCATGTTAGAGCTGGCTATGAACTTCAGATGGATCAGGCCTTAACTTAACAAAAAAGTTATCAATAGTTCTTTTCATCTTTTCTTATTACCCACAGCTACATCCACTTCTTTCGGGCCTCACTAGGGCTGCGTATCATCACTGATTTCTATAATCCATTAGATTCAGGTTCTCAAAGTCCTGATTTGATTCAATTTAGTCTCAGACAGTCAGAAATATTATAATTCTGATCATTTATCAGTACGGATACATGTGAGACTTCATCAGAATTGTGAACATCACAGCAGATGCTTTTGTGTCAAAGTAACTGAGAATAAAACACAGAAAAACATGAAGGAGATTTTTCTGGCCTGGCGTTTTATAGCAGATAACCTTAAAAATATTCTATAATTTTGCATAATTTTAAGAAGTTTAAATTTCTTCAGTATTGAACAGCAAAAATTAGGCTTTAAGTGATCGCACCACTGAAAAATTTGGTCGCATTTGCGACCACATTGCTCGCACTCTAGAGCCCTGTGAGCTCAGATCACACCATCACTGGTGTCACACTTGTGTCAATCAGATTAAATAAAATGTGTAAATATTGAAAAAATATATAGTCTTGTGGTTTCTAGTCAATATGATATCAAGTTTGATTCAACAAGAAGAGGTTTTAACTCACAACGGTGACCATGAACATGCACCAGTCCAACATAGTCCATCACTGGACACTGAACCACAGCACTGATAAATACCCAGTTTAACATCTTCTAGTAAAGTCACTGTATCTTCAATCGGACCCTGAGCACTTGTTTTCACTTAGGAGACACATTTAGACATCATACTTTGCTTCAGTGATTGTTTTCTTGCTTTTGCTGCAGATGTAAAGACATTATTTATAGAAGTATTTGTAACATGGACAGATTTTGTTCTGATACTTTGGAAAGTCTGTCACTGTGTGTGTTCACTTTGAGGCTGTTATAAAAAATAAATGGAATAAACAGTTGGTGTGGACGCTCATCTTCATCAATGTTAGTCAGCAGACAGTTTTCACACTGTCTCATTAAGAAATGATTTGATCGCACCACTGAAAAATTTGGTTGCATTTGCGACCACATTGCTCGCACTCTAGAGCCCTGTGAGCTCAGATCACACCATCACTGGTGTCACACTTGTGTCAATCAGATTAAATAAAATGTGTAAATATTGAAAAAATATATAGTCTTGTGGTTTCTAGTCAATATGATATCAAGTTTGATTCAACAAGAAGAGGTTTTAACTCACAACGGTGACCATGAACATGCACCAGTCCAACATAGTCCATCACTGGACACTGAACCACAGCACTGATAAATACCCAGTTTAACTTCTTCTAGTAAAGTCACTGTATCTTCAATCGGACCCTGAGCACTTGTTTTCACTTAGGAGACACATTTAGACATCATACTTTGCTTCAGTGATTGTTTTCTTGCTTTTGCTGCAGATGTAAAGACATTATTTATAGAAGTATTTGTAACATGGACAGATTTTGTTCTGATACTTTGGAGAGTCTGTCACTGTGTGTGTTCACTTTGAGGCTGTTATAAAAAATAAATGGAATAAACAGTTGGTGTGGACGCTCATCTTCATCAATGTTAGTCAGCAGACAGTTTTCACACTGTCTCATTAAGAGTGTGTGTGCTCTTCCTCAACTATCACCGTTTGCTCCTCTGAATTCATCACCAAAGTAACAGCTTCCTGCTCTCAGCTAACATCAGCTTAGAGAAATCCTGGAGATGCTGATAAACTTTCAGATTTATCACCAATCAACCAAACACTGAAGAATCTGAGCTTGAACAGCACAGAGTTAAAAACACGTCCATACCTATGATGTGTGAGTTTCTGTC